ACCAGCGAGCCAATCTGAAAGGCTCGTTAATCTGATCACTCAAAATGCCCAGATTACAGCGAACCAGCAAGCCAATCTGAAAGGCTCGTTAATCTGTTCTCTCAAAATGCCCGGATTACAGCGGACCAGCGAGCCAATCTGAAAAGCTCGTTAATTTGATCACTCGAAATGCCCATATTACAGCTAACCAGCGAGCCAATCTGAAAGGCTCGCTAATCTGATCACTCAAAATGCCTGGATTACAGCGGACCAGCGAGTCAATATGAAAGGCTCGTTAATCTGATCACTCGAAATGCCCAGATTACAGCGAACCAGCGAGCCAATTCGAAAGGCTCGTTAATCTGATCGCTCGAAATGCCCAGACCTGATTACAGAGGGTTAGTGCTGGTTCGTTGTTGTCTTTACCAATCGGATTGGGTGAAACCTGAGGATCAGTGGGTATTTTTCTTAATAATAAAGATGGTAATGAGGGCAGTGACCACATCAGCGGTACTTACATCTTCGCGAGACATGCCCATCGACTCGTCACACACCTGTTTCAGTTTGTCGTTCGCCAACCGTATACTGGTCCGACCTCTTACCTGAACTCAACCATCTCAGCACTAGTGAGTGAACGCCCCCCTGGCCCGTAACAACCTGTGCCTCTGTGCAAGAGCGTTCCTCCCGACTCGCACAGTTCCCGTTGCCACAAGCTCCGAGGACGTTCCGCGGGGAACACCGTGCACGCTCCTCCCCCTCTCTGTCCGGATTCCCCCCTTTTCTTTCCTCCCCCGTTCTCAGCCATATTCAGTTTGAAAATGCTGGTCCCATACTCCGAAGCTCGCCCCCTGCATTCCCCCCCTGTCGACGGGCCCTAGCGGGTCAGTGATGCCTGTAAAACTAGGCTCTCAGGCCCGGAGTGGCCACGGTGTCGGGGCAGGGGACCCCATGTGAATTCACGGGTAYGACCATTATCCGCACGGTACCTTGCGAAGCYGTGTGGCCCTTCAGACCCAGCAGTACCAGCCTCATAGAACGCAGTAATCTCCAGGTAGCAGAATTAGTCCCTTGAGCCAGCCAAACTGGGTCCAGTTCCACAGATTTGAAATATAGCTCAGCGGCCAACTCCCCCTTAGTCAGCATATATCCAAAGGTTARCACTTTTATCTGCCGCTGACCACACTTGTYCATAGAGAGCCCTTACCGAYAGTAGATGGTACCATACAGTACCATAGAACCGGAGCAATTGTAGCATTCTCCGACCAATCGCTCGATCAACGTGMGTAAGTGTCCCAGGCTAGCATACACACCCAAAATTGTGGTACCGCGTTGTGGTGTGCCACGGGAATGCCGAATCAATGAAGGTAAGAAGGTAGGCAGAGTCTTTTAGCAGCATTACCCATCCATACCATACTGAACCGAACCCTAAATAATAGYCTGTCCCCGATCGGAAATCAACAGGTCGTGGCGTCACCATGCCAATTTCGTACCTTGATCTAACCAATTTGTACTTGTCGCGATGTTACACCTCAACAATCCGTACCCGTCAATGACAAACCTGGAATGCTCAGTCAGGTTCGCTGTAACTGGTACCATACYGAAGCCRATCCTRAAATAATATTCCAGTGGCGTGCACCATACCGCTGCCAAACCAGGGAATCCATACCATCGCCGATCCTGAAATAATAATCCAGTGGCGTGCACCTTACCGCTGCCAAACCAGGGAATCCATACCATCGCCGATCCTGAAAAATAAACTGCCGCCAAGGTTTCAAACCTGGGAAAACCGTCGTAGCAGTCCCGGTGCTGAAAATAAGTCACCGTATTGAAACAACTACCACCGGGACCATACCGCGCCTGAGTCACATCAGACRCCGTRGGACGTAGCCTCTCCGCCAACCCAAGGAAAGCGACCCAGGGAACCCCGACCATCGGCGGCAGCGAAAATCATCAGAATCCGGGAAAACGTTCAATCTGGGTTCAGAGGTAGTGGCGGTTGATCAAGGCGAAATTAGTTCACCGTTCCGATAATCATATGTTCTCGTCTTTTCCATCACTTTTCATCATTCTTTTCTTTTGTTAATTCTATCGTTGAAAATAACAATTTAATCATAAGTTTACTAAAATCAAATCTCAAGAAAATTTCTATAAATAACCAACTTCGTTTTGTCTCCTTTCCCTTTTACTATTTTTAATATTTTTTTTTTGTTTTGAATCCCATCATCGAAAACATAAAATAACAAGGGAATTTCCCCTAAGATTAAATATAGTAAAAAAAGAAGAAAATAAAGAATATTGCATTTTTCTCCRCTCCTCTTCTGRTCTTAATCTTTTTCTTTTATTTTTAATTATGATATTAGAATAGACAAAATTCYGAGCCCTCATTTCGGCCCCGGTTGTACGCCGTCAAAATGCCACGGCGAGGTTTGTTTCCGCGATCCCTCTCCGTGGCAGGCCAAAACGGTCCCAGTCCTCTGAGCGACCGGAAATGACGGTCTCTAGTCGTGCTCAGTGCACCTACCCTTTTTGTTGTCTTTGGGGGTTACTCTTAAAATCTAGTGCGTGCAGAATCAGGGGTACCCTGAGTTCTCATAATTCCWGCAGCCCGGTCATCCCAAAACACTGTCAAAACGCGGACTTAACCCTGAGCCTAACCCCCTAAACTGCCGTTTTCAGGCGGCGCACTACTTGTGGCCGCCTGACACCGGGCAACAGGGCGTGGTTCACCGTCGAGCTGCGTGATGAGATGTATGCACTCAGGAGGGAGCTCGATCGACTGAAGAAGAAGGTGGAGAAGCTATGCGATAACGTGAGTGAGTTGAAGAACAAGCATCCTAATTCGAGTGTTACGTTAGAACAACTCAAGGAAGCGGTGCAGAAGGTGGTAGCTGAGGCGAGCGTGAAACAAGCTTCGTCGTTACCAAGAAGTGACGCCTCTGCCGAGAAGCGCAAACGCGAGGAAGTCAAGAAAGACACAGCGGCTGTGTATACGGTCGTACACATACGGCCCGTACGTACGGACTTCGGGCCGTGCGTGCTTGGCCTTCCTGAGGGGTGGGGGGGGGGTTGATGGGCTGGGGGGGGGTCGGGTGTCAGGGGGTACCCCCCCATTAAAAAAAAAAAAGGAAAAAAAAGGTTTTTTTTTTTTGGTCCCGGGTGAAAAAAAAAAATTGATTGATTGATTAATTTATTGATTGATTGTTTTATTGATTGGTTGATTGATTAATTGATTGATTGATTGATTGATTTGATTGATTGATTGATTGATTGATTGATTGATTGATTGATTGATCGAGCGTGAAAAAAAAAAACGAATAAAAAGAAAAAAAAAATCCATTACAAAAACTTATTGCTTGATTGATTGCTTGCTTGCTTGCTTGATTGATTGATTGATTGATTGATTGATTGATTGATTGATTGATTGATTGACAGTGAGGAGGTCGCCTCACCCCCGCGGACACACACACACACACACACACACACACACACACACACACA